AAAAAAAAAAAAAAAAAAAAAAAAAAAAAGACGAAGACTCGTGATCGAACGGAACCTCGTCAACGCGACTTGGTGACCTTAAAAAACGGGCAGTTCCAACAGCGCTTAACATTAATCCCGCGAACGCGAAACTGGATCGGTTGAATCATCGACAAAGCCGGGCGAAGTCAGCGATGTTTGAAAAGTCGAAACGCTCTTGCGAGCGTGCTAATTCCAACGGTAGCCGGTCGATTCCGAAATGGGAATCAAGGAGGACGTCAAAAACGGGTCTGCGATAGTTTTCTAGCCGTGCAGCTGCACCCGGTGCAAGCTCTGCTGTTCGATAACCGAGGTGCAACGGCCGTCGGCCCCAAGAACGTATCTAGGCCACCGGCACCAGCATTTCCACCACCACCACCACCACCACCACCACCACCACTGCTGGCACCACCATCAATATCATTGCTACTGCTACAACCATCGTACATTAATACTGCAACATTGTTGTTGTTGCTGCAATGATATCGTTACACACATTGTTACGAGTGCCAATGCGAATGAATTAAGGAATCATCAGCGCTTTTCTCGATGATCGTTGGATCGAACAAGCTTGAAAAAAAGGAAGAGAGATAGTTGAGAGTGAAGCTTGCTGGTAAAATTGAATTTTTACTAACTAAGAACCAGCATACGAGACGAGTGCAAAGCGTAAGCAAGCTTGTTTTTATACTTTTTTTTTTTTTTTTTTATACGTCGTGTAATATGTCCGAGGACGCGCAGATTCTTTCTTTATTAAAGTTTGCTAAGTGTTTCGTTGAGATTCGAAGGTCGAGCACAAGCGTACCGCTCGTCTTCTGAGCTTTATTTATTAATATAAATTGAACCACGATCTTGACAATTTTGTAGTTAATGTTGACTGTTGTAAAAAAAAATATTCGGTACAGTGAAAATTGTATGGTTTCGAGGAACACAGTTTGGAATATCACTATCTTTCTCGACGAAACATCCGACTAAAGTTCTTTAGAGATCTTCAAATTGAGTTTCCGAAGATCATCGAAATGTTTGAATTCAATCTCTTTATTTAACATTGAATCAAAGGAACTTCTTCGTATAAATACCACGCAATTTCCTTCGAAGTCTATTTGATAAATTCAAGCAAATATATTTGATGTTTCTGATACATAACACGTCATCAAACGCATTGTTTGATGACTACGGACGAGGAAATTTGGAAACAATAGTATTCCGCGTTTAAAGTAGAATTACACGATATTTAATAATATGTTTCTAATATTGATGAAAAAAATTGATCGTTGAAATATTGAAACATTGAATATGAAATATTGAATAAATATTGATCGCTGAAATATTGAAACGTTTGAATATGAAATGTAACTACGGCACAATTATCATAAAGCAGATTCTAAATACGTTCACAGTATCGCTATCTGAGACGTGACTATATTACCACCGTTAATCGATGTGAAAGGTCACTACTATTTTTTTTTTTTTTTATCAAACGTATGCACTTTGATAAATATTACGGGGCCAAAGTTACGTATGTTTTGCAAAATCGCTGTTGCATGAGCTGTTTTTTGTCGCAGCGACCCCACATTTTGTCAATTTATACACTTTCCCAAAAACAAATTCCCAAATCACCGCCTTGAAAATAATATTTGGATGCAACGCGAAATTTCATTATAAAATAAGAAATTTCTCAAATTTATCTAAACCGCGTCGACCCTTTAAGAAACTCCTTCATTAAGAAATAACCATACAAAACAATCACCAAGCGCTCAAAATTTCTAAACATCGATTAAGAATCCCCTATTTGATATCTTTTTAATTTTCGTCGAGATACGTTGAAACACTTAATCCTTATATCACACAGATTCCCACGAAGTGGGAATAATTAAATGTTCTGCGCGACAAATGTTTCTCCAACGTTTCAAAAATGCTACAATGTAGAATATTTTAGCCCAGAGAAGAACGACATGTGCGTAAAAATCAATGTCGCGATTCGGGTGTATGTTACAAAAATTCAGCAGAGCACGAACGAATCCAATTTCCCGCAGCATCAATCAGACATCCACATCAGCAGACGCGTAATAAAACGAAACTAAGCTTTCGCCTGCACATGAAGATTTCGAAAGCTGTGCCAAGGACGCGATCATTAGTCGCACTTTGTGGAGACACAAGTTTAAACATCGGGCCTTCTCACACGCCACCGCCCTGTCATCGATCTTCTTCAGCGGAAAGAAACCGAAGCGAAAGAACTACAGAGAAGGAGAGGAATATAAAATCTTCCGCGATGTATAGCGAAAGGACGAGGGACCGCCACATGTTGAGCTCGAACGATAAACTCGTCCACCGTGGAAATGCTTCTTTTGTCGTGCAAACGCGCTAGAAAAAGGGATCGTCGGGCGGCGATCGGGAAATTAAAGCCAAGGACAGGCTGCAACCTACCTTTGAGATCGAACAACGGAAAAAGGGAGGGTCGCGTTATTGCTGTATTTATCGATGAGCAAGTGGTGGACTCGGAGGTTTTCCTGGATAGCCAGAGCGCACTTGACTTGGCTGTTGGATGTTGTGCGCTCGAACAACGTGGAATAAGGCCTTCCCCGTGGGGAGGAAAGTTTCTGGCGAGAAACTCCACACGCCGCACCGGCTGATCGAGAATTCACGTGACATTTTTTGTAATAACTTTTCACTCGTAAGAGCTATCACAATGAAATTTGACATTTAAATATTTATAAAAAATATTCCCCTCCAATGGCATACAACGTGATATGTTTCATGCACGTTTAGTCACGTTTATGTTTCGTTATTTTTAAACAAATTCTGTCAGATTGCTCATTTTACAGTCTATCTATCATGTTTCTGAACTAATTTAACTAATCATATGTAAATAAAACTTGTGAAATCAATTAATCTTTCAAAAATGTTTTTTTGTTAGATTGTAGACTTAGCTTGTAATCTATACTGGAATTTATGGTGGATAAGTAAAATTCAAGGTATTTGATCTTATTTTGTAGTTTAAAGTCTTGGTGACTAGAGACTAGAGATTAAAAATTATGAGACCAGGTAATTTAATGAAGTTATTTTCTTTAAAGTTTAGGGCGTGTTTATTACACGGCTGTAATATGTGTCAGCTTTGTTTTTCTATCTTTCAAAGGATAAAGTTGAAGATTTTATTTATTAAGTTTGATCCTTATATAGTTATAAAATCTGCGATTTCTATTATGAGATTCTTCTTATTGTGTGTGTGTGTGTGTGTGTGTGTGTGTGTGTGTGTGTGTGTTATAATCGAAATTCCCTTCCTTTCGCATACAAAAGAATGATTTCTAACCATAAAAATATCTTTACTTTTTAATTCTATTTAAAAGATAAAATAAATCATTTGAATACTTACACACGCGAAACAGACACGTTTGGTGCGGACTGATGTCCGATGAGATATTTTCAAATTACCGAGCAGTTAGCTCACGCCTACTACCCGCTCGACAGAAATTTAAATTGCAATAGTTTGCTAGTGCAATTAAAATTTCATCGGTGCACAGCTGTAAAGCTATTCGTTATTGATTGATTGACTTAACTCCGCATTTGTATTTTCTCCTTAATCTGCCAGCGTATTGTTTCTAAAAGGAGAGTCGATATCTGGTTTATTGGATTTTTAAGTAAATATCGACGTACTAGGCGTAT